AAATGTGGTATCAAATACTTGTAATTGAAATAAATTCATTTTGATTTGAAAAACAAACTTTATAAAAATATTTCATATTTATGGGGCTGGAGAGATTGCTCAGTAGGTTAAGAACACTGGCTGTTCTTGCAGAAGAGTCGAGTTCGAATCCCAGCACCCACATGGCAGCTAACAACTGTCCATAACTGCAGTTCCAGGGTGTCTTAGTTTGTTTGTTCATTGCTGTGACAAAAACACTCTGACCACTACCAACTTGGGGAGAAAAGGGTATTTATTGTACATCTCCCGGGTCGCAGTTCATCAGGGAGCCCAAGGTAGGAATTCAGGGCAGGAACCTGGAGGCAGGAGCTGGAGCACAGGCCATGGAGGAACACTGCTTACTGGCTTGCTCCTCTGGCCCCTGCTCAGCCTGCTTTCTTATGCAACACAGGCCCACTGCCCAGGGGTGGCACCACCCACAGTGGGCTGGGCCCTCCCACATCACTCATCAAGAAGATGCCCCTCAGACATGGCCACAGGCCAGTTCAATAGAGGCAATTCACTAATTGAGGCTCCCTCAACCCAGGTGTGTCAAGTTGGCACTAAAGCTATCCAGCACACGGTGTCCAACAGTCTCTTCTGTCCTCTGAGGGCATTGCATGACACGGGTGCACTTACCTACATGTAGGCAATACACGCATACACATAAAAATAAATAAAATATTAAAATATATATTTCATTTTTATGTGTGCTAAGGGTACTTCGGGTATAGATGTAATTTTACTAAACAAAAATGAGATGAGGAATTCATGATTTGGGGAAAGGTAGAATTTAGGTTAAATTTAAAAGAATAGGTATTGATGTAAAGCAATGAGAGACTGTCTTAGGAACTTTTCAGCAACTGCTGAAAGTGAAAGTTGAGTTATACTTCAGGATACACACACACACACACACACACACACACACAGTGGATCAAACCCTTCAAGCCAGAGATAGAGTGCAGCTTCTGCCTATGTGTATTGTACCTTGAGACCAAAATGAAAATTTTTAAAAATCTCACTTTACCCTTTCTACTTTATCAAGGTCACAGAAGAAACCATTAAATACTGTTCACATCTACATTGCTGACTTGTTCTTAAGAATTTTTCCGCTCCCTTTGGGTTTTTTCTGCCCCCCTTTGGGTTTCAGAATCACCGTGTATATACCATGTGATAGTGCATGTGGTAGACTTTAACACTTGATACCAGGAACATACTCTAGTACAGATATTTAGCGAGATGAAGAAGGACTAGAAGACTCCACAAACCTGGAAGCCCTAGTTTTCCAGTGATCACAGGAAAACCTGGAACTGTTAACTTGTCAGCTACTTCTTGAATCTTTTTAAACAGTTTTAAATTTATTTTTAATATATATGTATGAGTGTTTTGCCTGCATATATGTAAGTGCACTCGTGTAATGCCTATGGAGGCCAAAAGAGGACCTCAGATCCTTTGGAACTGGAGTTATAGATTGTTAGCTTCCATGTGGGTGCTGGGAACTGAACCTGGGTCCTCTGGAAGAGCAGCCAGTGCTCTTAACTGCCGAGCCATCTTTCCAGCCCCTACTTCCTGAGTCTTATTTGCCATAGGAATACAAATAAAATATCTAAACCACACAGAATTTAGTTATGTGCAGGAGAATAAGTATTTGTGGAAACAAGGTTTCAGCAGAGAATTCATTTTGACAGTTCCTATTAACTTGCTGAGGTGGTTTTCTAGGGGTAGAAAGAGCTGTTTATAGCTGATCCTAAAGTAACAGCCTATGACATTCTTCCCATGAAAGTTTCCCAACCTAAATAGTTTTAGTTCTCTGAGAGAGTCATTGTGCTGTAGAATTTATAGTAAAAACATTGGCACAGATATCTACTATAAGGAAGTTGTCCATCTATATTTATAGATACTTGACCTTAAATTTTAGGAATTTAAAGTGTTTAGAGCAACCCTCTAGGACTTCCTGCATTGATCTTGACCCTGACACACATTACCTGGTCTTTGAAGCCTTCCTTTGAAATCTTGGTGGAAGCCTCCACAATCCTACATCTGCTACATTCTGCATACCTACAAAAGCACCATTATCTGTGTCTGTGACTGGGACCAAGGCTGCAGTGGCTTCTGAGTGCTTGGCCAGCTGGGCCCCAGGGAATTTTCTATTGGTTTCTTTATGAGAATAAAAGTCTTTCAAATAAGTTTATAATTTTGCATCCTAGGGCCTACAGTGGGTTGGATCTGACCACTTCCTGAGATGCCCTTAAAGTATCTTTTCTATTGTCCCAGAGCAACATGCTTGGCTTATTTAAGATTTTACTTTTGTCATTAAAATCTGTTTTTCTGTGTAGGTTTGTGTACATGAGTGCAGTGCCTGCAAAGGCCAGAAGATGGCATTGAATCCCTGGAGCTGGAGCTATAGGCTGTTGTGAACCACCTGATGGGAGTGCTGGGAACCAAATTTGGGTCCTGGGAGAGCATATGTGCTCTTAGTTGCTGAGCTATTTCTCCAGTACCATGCAATCTTTTTTTTTCCCCCAAACTAAAATTTATTTAGTGTTTGTGCTCATGTCTCTGTAGCAATATGTGGTGATCAGAGGACAACTTGTAGGAGTCATCCTTCTACCACATGAGTCCCAGGGATTGAATTTGGGCTGTCAGGCTTGGCTACAGATTTCTTTGCTTGCTGAGCTGGCTCATTGGCCCTGAATTTGCAGTCTTCCTTCCATTCTTGTCCACAACTTTCAACTCACTGCTAATTTTGGCTAGATCACATGTTTTGTAAATCTTTCTGTTCTACCTTTTGCTTCTAATTCTCACTGTAAACTCAGCAAAAAGTGGCCAGCAACAGTCATGGCGCAGCTTGGATGCCATTGTGTCTTGAAATTTCCCCATCAGCTTTAAACTGAGCCTTCAATAAAGCTTAACAAGTAGACAAATTATAGACAGCTTCTTTCTGAGAATGTAACATAAATGACCTTAATCTAGATTCCATGAGAGTTCCTGTTTCTTTCTGAAACTTTATGAGCCTTACTTACTTTTGCTGTCTGCATTCTTGTTGGTGTTGTGGACTCTGAGTTTTCACTAGAGTCACCCATTAAGTTCTGCTTGTAGTACTGTAAACTTTCTCTAGCTGATTTTTCTAAACTCTTTCCAATTCCTCCTACAAACCAGTTCCAAATCCCAGGATCAGCTTTTTCCCACTGCAATGATCCCACTTCCCTGGTACCAGCTTTTTGTATCGTGTGTCACTGTGGTCTCAGTATCTGAGAGAACAGTTTAAAGGAGGATTTACTTTGGCTCATGGTTGTAGAGGTGCCAGTGTGCTTGTGGACATGGCAGCATAGAGCACTTCATACCATGGCAGCTGTGAATCAGAGAGCATTATTTCTTTGAATAAGCTTTTTGGTTCTGTTTTCTTTCTCCTCTCTAGCTTTTCCATAATGCATCCAGTGATCCTCTTGATAGTGTCCCTTGAATTTTATATTTTCTTTGCTTCTTCCACACCCCATTCTTCTTTTATAATAAGTCCTGCTGGTCCTTTGGCTTGGTCTAGCTTATTGGATTCTTCTAGTGAAATGATTTTCATTTGGTTTTTAAAGTTTTCTCTTTTTTGAAATTTTCATGTTGTTCATGCATTCTTTTGGGCTCGGTGAGTATGTTTATGACAGTTATTTTGTCATAACTTATGACAGAATTCTCAGATAAATCATTTGTGTGTTCTACTATGGCCATTTGCTGGTGGTTTATCTTCTGCCTTTTATTTGGAATGTGTTTTCCTGTTCCTTCTTAGTTTTTTGGGTTGATGTCTGTGCATGTGATTAAGCAGCTGCCTTTCTCAGTCTTCACAGACTGGCCTTCTACAAGAAAGACCACCAGCAATCAGCTTGGTCACAGCATCTGGGGATCTCTCAAGTCTGTGTTTTAGTCCAGCCTGCTTTCTTTGTCCTGAGCAGCCTCAGGTGTTTGTAGTATTCCGGGTCCCTCCAGCCTTCTAGGACATGCAAGACTAAAGGCATTTCCTCAATCAGTCATTACCCAGATTAATCAGATCATTGCTCTTTCAACTCCTTCTCCAAAGAGAAGCTAGGAATGGAGGTTTTTCATCTTTGTGTGTGTGTGTGTGTGTGTGTGTGTGTGTGTGTGTGTGTGTGTCTGTGTGCGTGCGCCTGTGTGTGTCTGTGCGGGCTCTGAGATTTTTTGTGGAGCCAAGGAAGGACTGAATTTCCATCTCCACTGTCACTGAGCCTTTCTGAAGAAAATTTATCTCCTAATTGTATGATCCTATCCAGGGAGTAGGGTTATGAAAAGTGATTATCTGTAGTCTCCCTACTGCCTTCTATGTGGCTGCTTTTACACTGACCAGTGGTGCCAGAGCCTCCTTGGTAGCTTCTGGATTTCCTTCAGAGGGCACCTGTCCGGTGTTTATGACTTCGTATTCCAAAGGCCTCATCTTGGTACACTGGAGAGTAGCCTTTTAATTCAGACTTTCTCAGTGATGAAGTCAGCTGAAACAAATGGACAATAGGCATATAAAAAGGAGAAAAAGCAATTCAAAGAAGGGCCTGGTGATAGAGGCTTAAAGTTTTCATGGGAGAAAGGGAAATGGGAATATTTGCAGTTTTAGAGTGGGTAGTAAATTATTGTTAGGGAGAGAGAATGAGCCAGAACAGATAGTAAATGGTAGCCTGGGACAAAGTTCCTGTGGGATAGAGATGTGGTGTTTGATTTTCATACACTTTTGTTAAGAGTATTTAAAAGCATCATGTTCCTTTTTGGCAGACCTGGTCTCTAAGTAGATAAGAGAATTTCAGAGAAAAACTTCCCTGTATTTGCTGCTTCCCAAGTGCTTTCAGTTGAAATGCAAGGGGGCATATTTTGAGGTATTGCTTTCTGAGCCCTTAACAGTTTGAACATTAATTTTCAGAATATACAATCAGATCCTTGCACTTCCTTTTCAAATACTAAAACTGTTTTTGTCTCCTTTTTATTCCTAGCAATGTCTCAGGCTGTGCAGACAAATGGAACTCAACCATTAAGCAAAACATGGGAACTCAGTTTGTATGAATTACAAAGAACACCTCAGGTAATATGGACTAATATAATTTAGGGAAATATGAGATACATATAAATTGGCAAACCTTTTTTTAGAAAATGGAAACTTAAAGAGAATAATAATAAGCTTATGTATCAGCAGTTCTGACTAATGTATATTTTGTTGGTATGCCATTCAAGAAATAAGTTAACACACTCCATACCAGCCTCTGTTAGGCACAGTAGTGAATAAAACAGCTGTGGCCTCAGACCATAAAATTTATAGACACTAAACAACTAAATAGTCACAAAATTATATACATGAGAAGTTGTATAAAAGGAATATTTCCTATGCTGTAATAAATAATGGGATAAATAGACCATTTTAAGAAGGTAAATAGGACAAAGATTGGAGGAAAAGCAAGTCTAGGGCAATAAATATTCTTTTTGGTCTTTTCAAGACAGGATCTCCCTGTAGCCCCAGCTGGCCTGGAACTTGCTATGTAGACCAGGTGGCCTTGAACTCACAAAGATCCACCTGCCTCTGCCTCCTGAGTGCTGGGACTGAAGACATGTGCCATCATGCCTGGCTGGCAATAAATATTTTTTAAAAAACATTTTTTTCATTACTTTTATTTTGTGTGTATGAGTGTTATGCCTGCATGTAGGTAAGTGCACCCATGTTGTGCAATGCCTGCAGAGGACAGAAGAGGCTGTCGGATCGCCTGGAACTGGAGTTACAAACAGTTGTTAGCTGCCATGTGGGTGTTGGGATTCGAACCCGGGTCTTCTGCAAGAACAGTCAGTGTTCTTAACCACCGAGCCATCTCTCCAACCCGGCAATAAATTCTTAAAACTGTATTCATTTTAAATTGATCTATGGAGTGGGCAGGCAGAAGTGCTAACTAGAGTCTGAGACAAATGTAAAATTTTAGGGGCTGTCAGTACATTTTATGCTGTGGATATGATCACTAAGAGAGATCAATAGAAGTCTATAATTTCATACAGAGGTGTTTCACCATTAAGAAAGTAGGTAATGAATGATGAACCAGTAAAGGAGAAAGAACATTCAGAGAAAAGGAAGCCTCCTTTCTCTGGGAGCTTGAGAGAGAGAATTGAAAACCTAAAGGAAATGTTTGAAAGGAGGAGAATCTATAGTAAATGTGTTTAACATTGCTCATAGGCTGAAATAATGAGGATTAGAAAGTGTTTATTAGATTTGACAGAAATAGTTGTTTACCTTGATAGAGCAAATTTACTTGAGTAGGTTGAAGGTTGAATGTGATCATGATATAGTCTCATCATTGACTTAATGACATGAACTAAGGAATATGATATTTGAGTATAACAGGACAAAAATGACAAAAGATAAATAGATGCTTCTTCCCAAGAGTTTGCACAGGAGACCAGAGAAATAGAACAAAAACAGGGAGAATATGGAATTAAGTTTTAATGTTGTTTATAAGATAGAGTTGCAAGTGTCTTTATCCTCTTGCAGAGCTCTAGGCTGCATCAGTCACATTTGACTATGTAGCAACTCCATTTAAATACTAATCTCAGGGCTGGAGAGGAATGTGAGTTTGGTTCCTGGCATCCTTTTTTGGTGGCTTTAGGGATCTGACAACCCTCTTCAGGCCTTCTTGGCACTCACATGCACACACATTTAAAATTTTTAAAAGAAATACTAATCTCATAGGCTGATTTAATGGAAGTCGGGGAGATGCTGAAGTCTGAGAGCAAATGAAAAATTCAGAACAGGAACATCCTTGAAAAGGAATAAAGGGATGTACCTTTGATGCATAGTTTCTCCTTGAAATAAGAAAAGATAATTTCTAGATTTGGTAGAGAGAAAATGAAGCTTTCTTTAGTGAAATTTGAAGTAAGGTAATCTGTGGCAAATAGTGGGGGGCTGGAGGAGGAATTAAAAAGGAGTTAGATTAACCAGTTGCTGAGTAGTATTTAATATTTGAGCTAGTGAAGTTTTTTGATACTAGTCTGGTTTCCCCTTTCCTTTTTTCCCCACAGTACAACATATCTACACAGGTCAATCTCAGGATAACAGGTAGCTGGGTTTATCTAGGACTAGATTTTTATTAGGCATCTTCTAAAGAAGGAAAACAGAACAAACTTTGATTACTATCTAGGTCATCATTATATTCTTTCTGATTGATAGTTTCTTTTCATATACACTAGTGGTTATAATTCTTAAATCAAAAATTTTAAGAGGATTTTGAGTATTCCTAGCACAAAGAAAAGACAAATATCTGACAGTGTAGTCTGATTATTATATTGAAATGTTACATTGTACCTCATAAATATGTAGTTACATGTCAAAAATAGAAATATGTTTGAAATATAATAGAGAAGTATATGCTTATTTAAAATTATAGAAAGTGCTGTATTTAATGAGGTTGACCATGTTAAATAAGGAACAAGTATGATAGGCAATAAAAACACAGAGTGTCAGTAACATTGGAAACCCTTTATTTTTGCTTATATATTCCTGTTCAATATCTTCCACATTAGGATTTAGTTAGGTCTCTTCTCAGTCCTAAGAGCCAGTATATTGGTGGCTTTACAGTTAGGTAATCTTTACTTTCAGTGTTAGCTGTAAGAAGGATAGGTAGTAGTGGTGATAGTACTCACTAATTACTCAGCAAGCTGGAGTTCATCACTGGAATTCCATTTTTATAGAGAAACATTTTTAGGGACAATTATATAATACATATTATGCTTTGTATGTGTTACTGTCTAAATCAGCTGTGAGTTGGCCTGAGAACTTGACTGCTTTTTATTTTTTCAAACTGGATCTCATTAGTCTGGGCTGGTTTTGAACTCATGATCATCCTGACGTAGTTACTCATATTACAGGTGCATATCTCCATACCTGCTTGACCACTTTTTATAAAACTGCTTTGTGGAATAGACTTTTTTTTGTTGTTGTTGTCTTTTTGAGGCAGGGTCTCCTTTTATCCTTAGCTGGCCTGGAACTCACTATGTAGACTAGGCTGGCCTCGAAATAAGATCTGCCTGCCTCTGCCTCCCAAGTGCTGGGATTAAAGGCGTGTGCTACCACGCCCGGCTGGAATAGACTTTTTAAGGTTCAAAGTGATTTGGTTTTGGTTTTTAGTTTTTTGAGACAGGGTCTCCCTGTAGCCACAGCTGGCCTGGAACTCACTGGGTAGACCAGGCTGACCTTGATCTCAGAGATCTGCCTGCTCTGCCTCCCAAGTGCTGAGATTAAAAGCAGGTGTGCTCCCTTTAAAAGTGATGGAAAACTGGGGCTGGAGAGATGGCTCAGCAGTTCAGAGCATTGGCTGCTCTTCCAGAGGACTCAGATTCAGTTGCTAGCATCTGCTTGGTGACTAACAACTGTCTGTAACTCCAGTTCCAGGGAATTTGACACCTTCTTTTGGCTTCCTCTGGCATTGTATGCACATGGTGCATTTACATCCATGTATGCAAAGCATTCCTACGTGTATAAAATAAGTAAATAAACAAATCTGTTAAACTATTTATAAATTAAATGCTTTAATTAGGATTGCAAATTTACTTTTTTTGGATGCAGGATCTCATGTATCCCAGGCTGTCCTCAAACTCACTCTGTAGCTGAGGATGGCCTTGAACCTTCTTATCCTCCACTTCCCAAATTCTGAGATTACAGGTTGGGCCACTGTTCTGGTTTCATTTCTGTTGCTGTGATAAAATACCCTAACTAAAAGCAACTGAAGAGAAGAAAGGGTTTATTTAGGCTTACAATTTTAGGATACAGTCATTGTTGTGGGGTAGTAAGACAGGAATTTAAAGGATCACATCCTTGCTTGCTTTTTGCTGTCAGTCAGTTAAACACAAAACCAAGATAATCTCTCACAGACATGCCCATAGGCCAATCCTGATCTCCACAGTTTCTTAATTGAAGCTCTTCTACTAGGTGTTTCTAGGTTGTGTCAGGTTGACAGTTAAAATCAACCATCACAGTGACCATGCCTGGTTTATGTAGTGCTAGGAATTAAACCCAGAGCTGTGTGCAGTTTAGGGAAGCTCTCTGTCAGCTGAGCTACATCCCAGCCTAGAATTATAAAATATTTTGAAGAGCAGCATGAACTGTGTCATTTATAAAAATGCTTTAGATTTTGAAGATGGAAGAATTCTTAGGATTTAGTTAAGCCTAATCTTCTCATCTTGCAAGTAGAAAAACAGTATTAAATATTTATTGAGTCACACAGATGATTAATATGACCAGAACTATTAAGGCGTATGGTTCCAAATGCAATGCTTTTTACTATAGTAGGCTTTTGTACTCATTTTCATTCATGTATATATATGAATAAAGTTTTTAATCCCAACACTTGGGAGGCAGAGGCAGGCAGATCTCTGTGACCTTTGAGGCCAGCTTGGGACTACAGGGAGACCCTGTCTCAAAAAGACCAAAAATAAAATAAAAAATAAATACAGTACTACTTTTAGGATTCAGGGCATTTATATAATGTACTGATGTTAGGGTTGAAGAGCCAGGAATATTTTAGCGAAAACAAAATTCATTATGAGTTGATAATGGTGGTGAACTAGGTGATGATACAGATGTTTATTTTTAAAAGTCATTTTCAATACTTATATGTTTGAATTTGTCAACATTAAAAAAAATTAAGTGGAGACTCTTTTACAGGAAGCAATAACAGATGGCTTGGAAATTGTGGTTTCACCTAGAAGTCTACACAGTGAGTTAATGTGCCCAATTTGTTTGGATATGTTGAAGAACACCATGACTACAAAGGAGTGTTTACATCGTTTTTGTGCAGATTGCATTATCACAGCTCTTAGAAGTGGGTATGTTGAAATGAGTTATACTAGATTTTTAAATTGTGTCACAACAGTACTTTTTAGTGTTTGAGAAATATGTTGCTTGTAATTTTTGAGAACTGGAAATTTTCCTAAAGTCTAGAGTCTATGCTTTAATTAGTAGAGGATTTTTTTTTTTTTTTTTTTTTTTTTTTGCATTTGGAGACAGGGTCTTACCTTGTAGCCCAGGCTAGTTTGGAGCTCATTGTGTGGCCCAGGCTTGCTTTGAGTTAGTTGAAATCTCCTGCTTCAGCCTCTTGAGTGTTGGAATTTTATGCATGAGCCAACATGGCTGGCTCTCAAATTTTTTCCTTTTGGCAAGTGGTAGTGGCTGAGGTTTCCAAAATCTTGGTTAACTTGTTTATCAGATTTCAAAGAGAATGTGGTTAACTTTTTTCTTTTAATTTTTTACATTTAAAAAAAATTTATTATTTTTATGTGTATGAATGTTATGCCTGCATGTAGGTAAGTGTCATGCATTGCCCGTGGAAGTCAAAAGAAGCTGTTGGATCCCCTGAGACTGGAGTTACGGACAGTTGTTAGCTGCCATGTGGATGCTGGGATTCGAACCTGGGTCTTCTGCAAGAACATCCAGTGTTCTTAACTGCTGAGCCATCTCTCCAGCCCCAGATTAAAAGTCTTGATGCTCTACTGACTGAGCTATCCGGGCTCTCTGCTAATTTTTTACACTTTTATTTTATGTGTACAAGTGCTTTGTTCACATGTATGTAAGTGTACCTGTGTGGTGCAGTACCTGTGGAGGGCAGAAGAAGGCATTGGAGCCTTTGGAACTGGAGTCAGGACAGTTGGTAAGAGCCATGTGGATGTTGGGATACAAACTCTTATCCTCTGCAAGAGCAGCCAGCACGTGCTCCCAGCTCCTCCCCTCCCCCTTAACTTTTTTTTTTAAACATTTTTGTGATAGTCAAGGTGTTGAAATAAAGAAATTAGGGGACTGGAGAGATGGCTCAGCAGTTAAAAGCACTGGCTGCTCTTGCAGAGGACCTGAGTTTGGTTACTAGCACCCATATCATAGCTAACAACCATCTGTAACTCCAGTTCCAGGGGATCCAACACCCTCTTCTGACCTCTGTGGGAGTGCATGACATGGGTGCACTTTACATACATGGAGGCATATGATTATACACATAAAATAAAAATAAAATAAAATATTTAAAAAATTAGATATTTCTAGCTAACAGTACTGTCGTTGTTCACATTTTCTTTCCTCTCCTTTTATTAGCAACAAAGAATGCCCTACCTGTCGGAAAAAACTAGTTTCCAAAAGATCACTAAGGCCAGACCCAAACTTTGATGCACTCATCAGCAAAATTTATCCAAGTCGTGATGAATATGAAGCTCATCAAGAGAGAGTATTAGCCAGGATCAACAAGCACAATAACCAACAAGCACTCAGCCACAGCATTGAGGAAGGACTGAAGATACAGGCCATGAACAGGTAGGTATGTGGGAAAGAGGGATAGAGAGGTGCTGACTGTTTCTAAATTATTTATTAAATGGTGGATTTACTTTTTTGAAAGATGAAAATGAAGTGACAGAGCCCGGTGTGGTGGTGCACGCCTGTAGTCCCAGCACTTGGGAGGCAGAGGCAGGCAGATATCTGTGAGTTCAAGACCAGCCTGGTCTACATAGTGAGTTCCAGGCCAGCTGGGGCTACAGGGAAACCCCTGTTTCAAAAAAAAAAAAAAGAAAACGGGGGATAGTTCTGTATGATTACCTTTTTCATAATTCATTATTTCCAGACATCATGTAAGTTATTGCATTTAAAATACTACTAGAGTCTTGGACTGGTGAGATCATTGAACCTATGATGAAAGGAGAGAACTGACTTCCAAAAGTTATCCTCTCACTTATATATGCCCACACTCATACATATCATGCATACACACAAATGCAGTAACAATAATAAATACAAGTTAAGATAAAATACTACATCATTTTTGGTACCTACTTCTCAGTAAACTTATTTTTCCTCTTCTGATTCGAGCAAAGCTCACAAAAAATTGTTTGTATATAACTCTGGTTCTTTTTCTACTCATAAGTTCCTTGGGCTTCTCCAGAGAGAGGGTCACCTTTCCTACCCTGTCATAGCCCTTGTGAAAGTTATTAGTGATCATCATATTATGCAGTGTAATGATTGAGTCTAAGGCTTCATCATACCAGCCACATTTGCTAGAATTGGTTTTTCTTTTTCCTCTTTGAATAGTTTTCCTTTTTTAAAAAAATTATTTTTTTAATTTTATGTGTACAAGTATTGTGTATGTAAGTAATAACTTGTACAATTATTGTGTACAAGTATTGCGTGTATGTAAGTACACTTGTGTCATGCAGTGCCCACAGAGGAGAGAAGAGGTTGTTGAATCCCCTGGAACTGGAGTTAAGTATAGTTGTTAGCCACCATGTGGATGCTGGGAATCAAACCCGAGTCCTCTGCAAGAGCAGCCAGTGCTCTTAACCCCTGAGTCATCTCTCTACCTCTGAATAGTTTTCTTAGACTTTCTCCTGGTTCTCTTTTTATGTTACTAACTATTCCTTGTAAGTTAATTTTGTAAATTTTTATTTCTAAAACTCTGAAAAGTGGAGTGTCTCCCAGATCAGTCTTTGTTTCCTTTTCAGTCGAGTATCTTGTCTCCAGATGACTTCATCCAGTTTCATGGCATTAGTTACTTTGTATAGTTAGGCTGGACTGCTCTGAATTTTTTACTTCCATTTCCTCTTAGATATCTAAGAGGCTTGTTCCTTTTTTCTTACTATTTTTTGAGATGGGATCTCACTACCTTTGGCTGGCCTAGAATTCACCATGTAGACCAGACTTGTCTAGAACTCATAGATCCACCTGCCACTCCTAAGTGCTGGGAATAAGGTATGCACCACCACACCTGGCCGCCTTTTAGATGTATGAAAAGCATCTCAAAAATTAATACATTCAGTACTGAACTTTTTACCCATCATTTTTGTGTATGGAGGGAGGATATACATGCATGTGTATGTGTATGCATGTGGAATCCTGAGGTTGATGTTGAGAATCATCCTCGTCTTTCCCACTTTATTGAGACAGGATCTCTCAGTCAAACCCAGAGTTCACTGATATGGCTTGTCTTGCTAGAGAGCTTGCTCTGAGGATTTCCTGGCTTTGCTGAAGGTAGGAATTACAGTCAGGCTGCCACAAGCCCGTCACTTGGATTTTGTCACATGGATTTTTGGTTTCTGAACTCAGGTTCTCAGGAAAGTGCTTTAACAAATAAACCATCTTCCCCTTGACCCTCAGCACCGAACTTTTGATTCTTACTTTCTACTTCTCATTCTTCATCTTTTTTTTTTAATTTTTAAAAAATTTTTATTCATTCGTGGTGCACACTTTTAATCCCAGTACTTGAGAGGCAGATCCACCCGCCTCTGCCTCCCAAGTACTGGGATTAAAGGCATGTGCTACCATACCCAGCCATTTTATCTTATTTTAAAAAAATACTTTAGTTATTTCTGTTTAAAAATAAAACTGTGAATTCAGAATTAACATCCTTGCCTGTAAGGGTCTCAAACACCAGAAAAAGTTTTAATCTTATGCTTCATGTTCTTTTCTATGCTTTGTCTAAATGAACCTGTGTGAGGTAGCTGCCATCTGATTTTACATGGATCCTCTTGTCCAAAATTTCACTTGGGAAGACCAAGACAAGGATGGCATCAATTACAATAGTCTGGGTACAGTTTCTGGGACCCTTGTGCTTGTTTTTCATAGGGGCAGGTAGAGTTCTCCTGAACAATAAAGACATGTTTCGCACTGAACTCTTTTTCCAATGTAAGTACTAGGTGGACTTGGATTTTCTGGAAAGATTTCAGTTGAGGAACTGGAACATAAAAAACTATAGTTCTGGCCACCACTAGCTTCAGTTACCTTAGATGCTGTAATGTGTTCGAGTTCATTTCTAGCTTGAGGTGTATATGGGAGATGATCCACTTGAGAAGCCATTAGGCTTCATGATCAAACTTGGTACTCAAGCTGAACTTGTGGAGCTTTTGTCCTTGTGGAGTGCCAGCTTGGAAAGAGACCCATCATTTTAATTGATAGCATCACATCATGTCATCATGCCATACTTGTTTGGAGTCACCCTTAAAATTTTTTTCTCAGATCCATTAATATTTTGGAAGGATGGGCTTTTCTTTGTTATTTTATTTTTTTAAAAAGTGTTTTTTTTAGACCATATTTTGAATGGTAGCCCAGGCCAGCCTTGAACCTGCAGCCATCTTCCTGCCTCAACCTCCCTAATACTTTCAGTTTACAGGTATGAGCCACCTTGCTCAGCTCATATGAAATCTTGACGTAGTTTCCCAACTGGTCTTTCTACTTTCCATGCTTTTTCTATATAGTCTGTGATAGTACAACAGCCAAAATGATCCTGTTAGAACTGGGAGTGGAGCTCAGTGGTAAAGTGCTTGCCTAGCTCCCATGAGTCCTGGCTTTGATCCTTAATAATACAAAAACAAAACAATAATTCTGTTAAACTAAGTCAGCCCAAAGTTCTTTGCTTAGACTCCTCCTGTTTCAGAAAACTTTAATGTTGGCTTCTAAGACTTTATGAAAAGTCAATACTCTGCTTACTCCTATTCTTTCTTCCTGATGTTATCTCCCAGAGTAGTCAGTTTTCAGGATGAACATCATTTTCCGAAGCAGGAGATGCTAGTAAAAGCCCCATCACAATCTAATTGTTACCGTAGCTGAACATCAGAATCACTTGGAAAGGTTTAAATCTTGGGCTTCAGGTATCATCCCAAACCAAGTAAGGTTAACCAAGTAACATTATACATGTTATTTTGGGGTTCTTTAAGCGATTCTGAAATATAACAGTAAAAAAATCCATTGATTTAAAGGTTAAAATACAAGCTCCATTCCATGAATTATCACTGTATTTCTGAAAGTAAGATACTGTTGGGTTTTTTTTTGAGGGGGGGGGTGTCGTTTCCCTTTAGCCTCAGCTGACCTGGAATTCTATGTAGACCAAGTTAACTTCGAACTCAGATATCTGCCTGCTTCTGCCTCCCGAGTGCTGGGATTAAAGGCACGTGCCATCACGCCTGGCAAAATTTGTTTGCTTATTTATTTGTTTTTTGAAGACAGGGTCTCTGTAGCTCCAGCTGGCATGGAACTCACTATGTACAGAGCAGGCTGACCTCAATCTTATAGAAATTCACCTGCCTCTGCCTCCCTGCGTGCTGGGATTAAAGGCATGCACCACTATGCCTGACCTGAGTGTGGTTATTTTTCGCTAAGTCAAAATGTCCTTGGGCCTTTTAGCAACATATTCCGTTCCAATAGCCAAAAATGTTGAAAATATTTGGGTATTTGGGAGCTCTTATCTAATCTTTAAAAGATTTTAGGGTTACCTCTCCAGAGCAGGGAATGTTAAGAGTAGCAAAAAGCCCCATTAAAAAAAAGAAGAGTACATGAAGTTATGAGGAAAAAAGAGACGGGGCGATATGGGAGGAGTTGGAGGGGAGGGAGTGGGCATGGATTTGATCAAAACACCTTATGTGCTTATATGCCTGCATGAATAATAAAATAAAATTTTTTTTTTAAAGTATGTTCCTGAGTTAGAAGGATTTAATAGTTGTTCAGTTTATTCTTGGGAAGAACACCACCAGTCTCTTCCTTCTATGGATAATCTGGTTTTGCCTGAACATATTCTCTCTCTTTCTCTCTTTTTTAAATACATGGGTGCATATGTGGAGGCTGGAGGACAATTTGTGGGAGTCAGTTCTTTCCTTCCTGTTAGGATTCTAGGGATTAAACTCAGGTTGTCAGGCTTGGTACAAACAAGTTCCTTTATCTGCAGATCCCATCACTCATCTGGCCTATGTGATAGAAACTCTTTTCTTTTGTTGGGAACTATATAGTAATTATCAATTATCCCTTTAGTCTTTCTTTTGTTCAGAGGTAATAATTAAAAAGTAAATAATAATTTGTTAAAATAGGGGCTGGAGAGATGGCTCAGCAGTTAAGAGCACTGACTGCTCTTGCAGAGGACCCGGGTTCGATTCTCAGCA